TATAAAATCGGAGATGCGTAAGTTCTATTCAGTTGTGTATTTGTGAACTAAAGTCTTTGAAAATGTAATAAGTTTTACGAAACGCGCCCGTGTCGCGTCAGACTAGAAATAAAAATTAATTTTGGAGAATTGATTTTTGATTTACCTCCAACAGTGAAGCGTAATGTACGAAAGATTGAGAAAATTCGTGTTAGAATTATTAATCTTACTTTTTCGGTCATATTTAATAATATATGTCTACAGGAAAGACTGCTACCAAAATATACTAATATATATATATATATATATATATATATATATATATATATATATATATATATATATATATATATATATATATATATATATATACAATCTTTGGACAACACCCACCAGTGGGACTCGAACCCAGAAAGCACAACTACCTTCCAGTAGCTGGCATAACTAGTATGCTTTAACCCACTTTAACCTTTAACCTTGTGGTTTATGCAAGTATAGGCTTATAAGCTGGACACGAGTTCTCTCACATTGACAGTGGCTTGACGAAAATTGCAGACTGACCCCTCACTCATCTGGTGCCTTCGGGAGGTAGAGATGTTTGAGATATATATATCTCGAACTATCTACTTCTTTTGTAAGGTCTGATGGCGTAGTGGGTTAAAGCATACTAGTTATGCCAGCTACTGGAAGGTAGTTGTGCTTTCTGGGTTCGAGTCCCACTGGTGGGTGTTGTCCAAAGATTGTTTATCTTCACTTGTGGTTTATGCAAGTATAGGCTTATAAGCTGGACACGAGTTCTCTCACATTGACAGTGGCTTGACGAAAATTGCAGACTGACCCCTCACTCATCTGGTGCCTTCGGGAGGTAGAGATGTTTGAGATATATATATCTCGAACTATCTACTTCTTTTGTAAGGTCTGATGGCGTAGTGGGTTAAAGCATACTAGTTATGCCAGCTACTGGAAGGTAGTTGTGCTTTCTGGGTTCGAGTCCCACTGGTGGGTGTTGTCCAAAGATTGTTTATCTTCACTTGTGGTTTATGCAAGTATAGGCATATATATATATATATATATATATATATATATATATATATATATATATATATATATATATATATATATATATATATATATATATATATATATATTTCTAGTCTGACATGGTGCGTCCCCTGGTCGTGGTGGGAGATATACACACTGTGGGAGCGCCCAGCGTGGGAGCCCTGGTCATGGTGGGAGACATACACACTGTAGGAGCGCCCAGCGTGGGAGCCCTGGTCATGGTGGGATATATATATATATATATATATATATATATATATATATATATATATATATATATATATATATATATATATATATGTGTGTGTGTATATCACGAAAATAAACACGTGATTAAGAATGTGACAATGTCAGACCACGGAGGAAAAATGAAACAGGAAATTTCCTTAAGTACTTTCGTATATTAAATACATCTTCAGAAGGTGTATTTAATATACGAAAGTACTTAAGGAAATTTCCTGTTTCTTTTTTCCTCCGTGGTCTGACATTGTCATATATATATATATATATATATATATATATATATATATATATGTATCTTTTCAGTTATATATATATATATATATATATATATATATATATATATATATATATATATATATATATATATATATATATATATATATATATATATATGTGAGTGATCATGAATGCAATTGCAGGATAATGAAGGTTGTGGGAGTTATAGGAGGAGGCGCCGCAGGGCTGTGTGCCGCCCGCCACATCCTGGCCGCGGGTGACATGCTGCCAGTGGTGTGGGAAAAAGCAACAGAGGTCGGAGGGACTTGGGTGTACTCCCCTCAGACGGGAACCGATGAACACGGTCTGCCCATTCATTCCAGCACGTATAAAAACCTCAAGTGAGTGATCATTAAAGTTTTCGTAAAACGTTCTTTCAGCCGTTTTTAAGCTCAGTTTGATTTATTTAATGTTTTAAGGGAAGAATCAATGTCATTGCTTTTTAATGGCTTTTTCTGTTCGGGGAGAAAGACGCAAGCCAGTATGGGGGACTTATTAAAATTTCAGATTATAAAGATGTAAAGTTCTGCAGTAACACAAAATATGTTTGATGGCTATAAGACAAATATGTTTGTCTAACATAGACAAACATATTTGTCTATGTTATAGACAAATTCTATAACATAGTTGAGTAGATACAGTAAGTACAGTTAAAGCAAATTTATAATGGGAATAACCAGAGTAACCTTTATTAAAAGTATACTTAAAGCCAAGTAACAAGATAAGGCAAAATTCCGCAGAACACCAATTATGCTTATTGACTATAAGTAAAAGTATATGCCAAATGGCATAACATAGTTGAGTATGCAGGCGATGAGTCACAATAACGTGGCTAAAGTAAGTTGAGCAGACTTTAGAAGGTGAAGGGACGACGACGTTTCGGTCCGTCCTGGACCATTGTCAAGTCGATTGTGAAGAGGAATGTTGTTGTTGTTATAGATTCAGCTATTCGGAACAGGTTCCAAGTAGAGAGGTTCCAAGTAGCACGGGCTATGGTGAGCCCGTAACTTACCTGGCACAGGAGCGGGGCAAATAGCACGGGCTATGGTGAGCCCGTAAGTCTACTTACCTGGCACAGGAGCGGGGCAAATAGCATGGGCTATGGTGAGCCCGTAGTGGACTTACCTGGCACAAGAGCGGTGCCGTGTGAAGAGGAATTGATTGATTGATTGATAAAGATTAAGCCACCCAAGAGGTGGCACGGGCATGAATAGCCCGTAAGTGGTACAATTTTTTTTTCTCAGTATTCTGAGGTTGCATTTAACCATCAAGCTGTTATCGTGGGGGAGGATACTGCTTCACGGTCTTTATGAGGGTGTCCAGCTGCTGGACACCTTTGTTGACCAGGTGAGTGGCTGTGTTGATGGCTTCAGGGTGGCCACTGCATGATTCAGGAACTCTTAAAGCTCTTCTAAGGTCATTGGTTGCTTCACATTCCAGAAGATAGTGAAGTAATGGCTTTTCTGTGACAGTTTGGCAGAAGATGCACTCTCTCTGTCGGGGTTCACAAATCTCCCAGTTGCATCTGTAACCTAGACGTAGTCTATATAACCTAACTGCTATTTCCCTGTGTGAAGAGGAAGATGATTGATTGATAAAGATTAGGCCACCCAAGAGGTGGCACGGGCATGTAATAAAGGCCATGTTATGGAATAGGTGAACATAGACCCCACACAACCTATAAATTATGTGAGAAATCCTTAAAGAATTCTGATATAGATCTAGGGGTGGTTCTAGATAGTTTTCTATCTCCTGAATACCACATAAAGAACGTTGTGCGAGGAGCCTATGCCACGCTTTCTAACTTCAGAATTGCTTTTAAATATATGGATGGTGAAATACTAAAGAAATTGTTCACGACTTTCGTTAGGCCAAAGCTAGAATATGCAGCGGTTGTGTGGTGCCCATATCTTAAGAAGCACATCAACAAACTGGAAAAGGTGCAAAGACATGTTACTAAGTGGCTCCTAGAACTGAAGGGCAAGAGCTACGAGGAGAGGTTAGAGGCATTAAATATGCCAAAACTAGAAGACAGAAAAAAGAGGTGATATGATCACTACATACAAAATAGTAACAGGAATTGATAAAACCGACAGGGAAGATTTCCTGAGACCTGGAACTTCAAGAACAAGTGGTCATAGATTTAAACTAATTAAACAAAGATGCCAAAGAAATATAAGACAATTCACTTTCGCAAACGGAGTGGTAGACAGTTGGAACAAGTTAGGTGAGAAGGTGGTGGAGGCCAAAACCGTCAGTAGTTTCAAAGCGTTATATGATAGAGTGCTGGGAAGACGGAACACCACGAGCGTAGCTCTCATCCTGTAACTACACTTAGGTAATTACATGGTTGTGTTTTGTTTGTGCCTTTTGGCTCTCCTATTACCAAGTTTGGGTTCCTGGTTTCCTGGCTTACCCGACCTGTTGGCATGTTCACAGTCTCTCGGTTTCCCTTCTCTAGAATCGCGTGTCGGGACTTTCGTCTCCGATCTCCTGGTGGGCTTGCGGGCGTTGGGATATTTTTCTGTATGGCGAACGTTCCATCTCCTCCTTTGCCGGCTTGGGTTTCCAGCTCTGCTGGCTCCGTGGTCGCACCCGGGATCTTCCTGCGGTTCCGCCTCTTCTTGGGCTCGATTGGCCATGGCGGGGCTGGTTCGGTTCTGCCTCGAGTCTCTCACCTTCTGTTGGTAGTCGGGTGGCTTCGGTGATGGTGTCCCACTTGCGTGCTCCTTCTTGGCAGCGGTGTGGGGTTTTTGGTGGTTCTTTCTTTTCCTTCTGCGGTTGCTGCGTTTGTTGGCGTTGTCTTGTCCTTCTCTTTTGGAGGTTTGGGGCCGTCCTCTTGCCCCATACTGTCGCCTCGTATCCTGCGGCGCTGGCAGAGCCGCTTTCACTTGCTTTCGGTATTGATGTTACTTCTGTGCCGTTTAGCAAGCTGTCTCGTGCATTGTTTCACCTCCAACCTGCTCTTGCGCCGCCTGAGGCGTCCTGGTCATTGGACAGAGTGCTCTTTTCTTCTCCTTGGTTTGGTGTGGCCCCTTCGGTTCAGGATTGTTTTCCAGGGCTCTTTTTCTGTTGGCATTGGGCTCTGGGGGTCGGGTTGGGGAGCTTCATGCTCTCCTCTGGCGCAGGGGTTTCTGCTCTTTCGGTCTTCGTGTTGGTTTTGTTCGTTTGCAGCAGTCTCCTTCTTTTCTGACGAAGAATGGGACTGCTGCTTTCTAGAGGGGTCCCTGGGTAGTTGATGCTTAATTGGTTGGGCCGGGGTGCATCGTGTTTTGTGTCCGGTGACGGCTCTTCGCTGTTATTGCACGCCATGAATTCTGTGTCCTTTGACGCGCTTTAGGTTGATCCGGTTCCCCTTCTTCCCTGATCGCGGGTGCGGGTCTCCCAGGTTGTCCGCAGAGTTCTTCAGGCTAGCCAGCCTGCGGTCTATCCCCGTACCCATGACGTATGTAAGTTAGCTGCTCTTGCTGCCGTCTTTGGCACCGTGTCCTGGGCTGGCATTTGGGCACGGGGCTTTTGGTGGTCGAACAGGGTCCTGGCTGCTCGTTACCTCGTGCACGTCCCTGGGCCTAGTCGGGCCTGTGTCATTTTGTGTCGGCGGTTGCAGCCAATTGTCTAGACTTTAGAGTTGTGGAGTGAGCAACGACCGCCTCCCGGGGTACGTCCCAAAGTTTTTCCTCTGTAGGTAGTTAGCTCCGGGGACCCGAAGGGGCTCCCCCCAGAAAACCAGCGTTGAATGTAATGAAACGCCATTTTCTGGGTGAGACCCAGAGGCTCCCTGGCATCCCTCCTTCCCCCTGGTTGGCGTTTTTTTGTGTGTGTTTTGACATCCAGCCTCAGAACTGACGGGTGGATAGCCGGCGTAAGAGGTCTGGGGCTCCCCATTTCCACTCCCAGGGAGGGGGGAGCTGTGCAGACAGCGTCGCGGCGACGTGTGACGTCATGATCGTTTGCTCGTTTCTTTTAGGGGAGTTCTATCACTTGTTCGGCTTTTGGTAGCAATAATTTCACCAGAATAAGGGTTTGTTTTGGGATGCTTACCTTTCTGGGTGCCTGACCCGTCGATGGCAGACATAGAATGCTTCAAACCACACGGTGGTTTCTATAGGTCATTGCTCCCCTTGCCTCTCTGAGGGGACCAGGTTCTGGCTCGTGGTCCCCGGTAGGCCCACAGAACTCCATACACATGACTGATGCCAAAGTCTGACATTTGCATATCAGCCTAGTAAGCTCCGGGGAGCCTCCGGGTCTCACCCAGAAAATGGTGTTTCATTACATTCAAAGCTGGGTTTTTTCACTAGACAGTAGGTTTGGTGTAGAATTTGTAGTCTTCCATGTGGCTGACTCAGTCTTAGTTCCTGGTCTCTCTTGCCAGTTGTACTGGCCCCTCTGGGCAGAGATGAGTGAGTTTGTAAAATAATATTTTAATTGATGATACTCAGAGGTCCAGTCTCAAATCTACACAATAAAATATCTTACCATAGTGAAAGATAAGATCAGAAGTATAGAATAGACCCAGTGAAGTATAAGATGACCACAAGTACAATTAGAGAACATTGTGTGAGGATCAGAGGTCCATACACTTTTTAACCCTTTTCCAGAAAATATTACAAATCTTTCCAGAACAGAAATTGCAAGCTATTGTCAACTCCTTCTGAATCAAGTTTTCACCTAGAAAGTTTTGTTTCTAGTCATGCCACAGTTGTAGAAAGCCTATAGATAACTGTTACAGGTCAGACACAGTATATATGCAATACATGACACTACTGCTTTGTGTGCTTGTAGAAATAGTAGCAGCTATTGTCGTTGCCATGCTGGTGGTTGCAGCTGCAACTGTTATAGCAACATTATTACAAGTATTGTAGTTGTCAAGTTGTAGTAAGACATGTATATTCCTCACTGTATGCCTTATTTCCATGCTGCTCTTCACCACAGCATGGTGCCAATGCAATCATAATCATTCTTTATTAATTACTCTTATACCAAATAATAATAAATAATCTAAAAATTATTTGTGATTTTCAGGTGATACTGTCACACAACCTTCCAACACCAGTAACATCAGAGTTGCCACCCAATGTTCGTCAAGTTCGTGGTGTGGTGTCTGCCTTGGAAAATGGTTTTGTGTTTGGAGATGGGTCCTCTGCTGAGGCTGATGCTATCATGTATTGTAGTGGTAAGAAAAGAGACTTTTATAATACCAGTATATATTTTATGTGAAACATCCCACTCTTACTTTGTGCAAATTATTTTTAGAATATTTCAAAGCAGTACCACTTAATTTGTGCATCAATATCTATAGTCATGATGTCCTAACATCTCTCCCTTTCTTTCATGTATTGTTCTGCTCTGCCTTACCCCAAACACTGGTCATGTGCCTCAATTATATTGTCCCCTTATTTCACCATTAGTCCCCTTATATCACCATTATGCATCTTGTTAAATGATGCTTTGTCATGCTACCAATGTCCATACCACTTAAGTGTATCGCACGTCACCCTCCCCACCACACTGTATTTCCTGAATTTACCAGAATGGGTACACCACTAACACACTAGAGTGGGCTCACCAAGAATAGGATGCTGGCAGCTTTTCAAAGGTCCCCACACTTGTCCTGATGATTTTTTCAAGCTGGATTTAAAAATTCAATTGTTTTGGCATTTACGGCTTCGGTAGATAGGGGGTTCCATGGGTTTATAATTCTACGGGTGGAAAATCATCTGTTTTTATTCACTCACTCGTTTCTTATTCCAAACCTATCATTTCCTTCCTCATTACTATACTCATCACACATTCTGTGTTTAACCACATGTTTTCCATTCTCATTTCCACTGCTTATGTTCTTTAACACATTGTCGCTTTCTGTACCCGAGTTTTACTTTAATATGTGATATCAAATAAACTTTAATATATGACTTGTTAAATTAAGTACCTGCCCAAAACAGTATGCATGTTAGTGGATTTGGAAGAATGTAAAAATACCAATCTTATGTAAACTCACAAACCCATTGTACCTTCTTGTAAATAAAATTATTATAAAGTCAACTTTGTTGGGAAGGAGTGCGAGGGGGGGGGGGGCAGAAGAATATAAAGTACAGTATTGGAATGGTTTCGTGTTTTTGTGTTATTAGACACAAAAACAGACATATTTTGATTTCTGTGGCTCTTTGAATTTATATTCAATGTTTTGTGATTTTCTGGGAAAGCCTTGTCGGCTCCCTGAAGCTATCTGAGCTGATGTGAGTTACTAGTTTTGTCGTGACGCTGAACCCCGGTTCATTCCGAACACAGCGAATACACAACACATAACACCTTGCCTCAGCAACCGTTACTACCACCTATACTCCTACTGTTACGGCCCTCTCGGGACGCAACGGGGTTCTTACTCTGATGTTGTTAGATGAAGTTGTATCCGACCCCAAGCCAGTAGTGGCTTTCAAGGGATGTGATCCGTGACGCAAGAAACTTAAAGGGGGAAGGGAAAGAAAGTTAAGAACTTAAGACTATAATTGTCACCATCACCAAATAAATAATATATAAAAGAGTGCACAGGGGAAGGGGTATAAACACTATACAGGGGAATTAGTCACACAATTGTCTTCTGCTGAAGACTCTGGTGCAAAACTCTCGGTGCTGAGTCCTCGGTGCTCTTGATTCTCGTGGCCTCTTGACGAATTCTTCTGAGAAGTTGAGCCTACCCTGGCCACAGGTCAGCCAAAACACAGGTCCACTGGGGGCACCGCCGTGGAGGCCGTCAACCACACGTCCAGCAGGTCTGCTGGCAGGTTCCGGATCAGCAAGGCTGGTCAGGCCACTCCACGGGCGATATTAGGGTAACGCCCTAGACAGGAGCCTCGTGTGATACCACAAATCACTCTCCTGTCCTCAATACCCCAGTGGATAATCGTCTCCAGCAGTCGGTCCCGGGTAATCCTTCTACTGCCACTCCACTGGCAGGGTAACACCACAGTGTTCTTCTGGGGGACGACTTCACAGCTGCTGCAGCAAAGCACAAGGTATGGAGACGGCTGCCTTGGGTAGACTGACTCAACTTCCATCACAGCAGTCCCAGGTCGACTCTGTAAGCAGACACGTCATCAATAACTGGGACACACTAAGGCACCTCACTTACAGGCTCAGACACAAACGCCCACCTATCCACTCTATAGATGGCGCTGGTGTCTGAGCACCACCTCACCAGAGGTCAGCAGCGGCGGTGTTGTGAGCTGCACAGGACTGGAAACTGGCCCTTGTGGCCAGTATTCGCCGTCCTCACCAGGTGTCGTCGTCCGTTTGGCGGGGGTTTCGGGAGCTGACCCACAGATGGCGCGGTCGTCACTGCTCCGTGCTTGGACGTCGGATCCGGGTTCGTAACACCTCCCCGCCAAAAAGAATTTGGTTTGGGGTTCTATAAAAAGAAACACAAACCAAATTAGTACGGCGACACAACTCCAAATGGATTCACTTACTCTATGAACTGGAATGGCGAGGCTGTCTTGTCCACAGAACCGTACCACTGGGGAACTCTCGCACAAAGGAAACTTGCAGATGTAAGGCAATGTCCTGCCTGGCGTAATCTTCCACGTCTCCACTGCGATGTCAAGCAGGGGCATCATCTCACCTCTCTCGAGTAAGAATCGGTGTAGTCACGATCTGGGGGCGACTCGACACTTCTCTGTGTCGTGGCACCGATGATGGCTGATCACAGACGGCATTTCTGGTACCGGTCCGATGGTCCTTCAGGGAGACAGGAACCTGGAATACAGGGGTCTGATAATTCAGAGTGATAGCGACAGTGGGTAAGTCAATACTTACTGCATACACCTCTACTAGGCTTACACCTAGTTTCAACAGGGCTGTTCGTACGTCGCAGATGGCATTCGCTCTGCCATCGTCAGGTCGACCAACGTTCCACATAACGCTGCATTGAGGCTCAGCAGTCACGCGGGGGGTGCCAACCTGTCGGAAACAGTCACTCACATTATCATATCTCGTACCTCCTGTATCAACCATCACCTTCTAGGTCCCTTCTTCGACTGCAACACTCATAGTGCACGTCTCTAATCCCTGGGATTTCTTCCCGATGTTCAAGGGAGCCATCATCCTTCGGGTCGTCCACTGATCCTTACCGAGACCACACACGAGAATAAAACAAAATATCGCTAAGAAACATGGGGCCAATCGAGGGATAAGCTTCCCGAGCCTGTCATGTCCATAACCGGCTATATCCACTAGCCTGGTTTGGACCAAAGAGGGCACTAGACCTTTCGAACACACCTCACATACCTCTGACGTCTGGGGAATCTCTGGCTGGTTCAATGAACGCTGTACAATGCCATACCGCGAGTACACATCCGCCTTCGCTCCAGACTCGTTGGTATCCGTGGGTGCCTGCACACAAGGCCTCTCTTCTTGCTCAGGTACTTCTGCCATCGTAACCTCATGTTCCTTGTCGAGAGAAGAATCAGGAGACTCTGCTAGAACTCTGTCGATCTGCGGGTGAGAGGACAAATTAAACCTGTTTGAATCCGGGTCTGCCTTTACCTGGATATTACCATTGCCTGTTACCTCAGACCGTGCTGTTCCGGTAGACTCGTCCGCAACCTTGGGAAGATTGATGCTCCAATCTGTCACCAAGTCGTTGGCTAGTACCACGTCAATCCCAGCCACAGGGAGGGTATCGACTACTGCCAACGCACATGTGCCGCTGAAGTAAGGCGAGTCGAGATGTACCGTCACTAAGGGGGCGATGTACTGCGTCCTAGGAAACCCAACCAGGACAACCTTTTGTCTCCCATCCACACTTACTCCCTCGGGTAACGAGCTCTTCACGATCAGGGACTGGGCTGCTCCACTATCTTTGAGCACTACAACTGATCTACTAGTATGATCACTCGATACATACCCGCCTGAAGTGTGAGGGGAAAACAATCTGGGTTCTTCCTGCGTAGTCGTAGACTGGTTTCCTGCTGGTGATGTTCCACAGCTCATCAACATCACCTCCCTTCGTGCGCCGCCACCTCTTCTGCCTCAGCACATAGCAGCTACATGCCCTTTCTGCCCACAAGTCCAGCACACCATATTCCTCCTCAGACTCCGGTGTTTCGGACTGCTAGGACTAGTCCTTTGAGGGCTACTTGGGGGCGTCTTCTTAGCGCTTCGTGGGACGGGGGTCTCTTCTTCGTCCTGAGGTCTGTCAAACCGGCGCTGGTAATTCCTCGGGACGTACTTAGCAGAAGGCCTATGCGTCAGGATATACTCTTCAGCCATGGTGGCTGCCGCACTCAAGGTCTCCACCTGCTGCTCCTCCAAGTACGTCTTCAGGTCTCCAGACAAACAATCCTTGAAGTCCTCTAGCAGTATAAGCTGCTCGAGGTCTTCCTTGGTCTCCACCTTCTGAGAGGCACACCATTCCTGAAAAAGTCGCTCCTTGATGGTGGCGAATTCGGTGAAAGTGTGCTCTGAGGTTTTCTTCAGGTTTCTGAACTTTTGCCTGTAAGCCTCAGGTACCAATTGGTACGCCATGAGCACAACCTTCTTCACCTTGTCGTAATCGCCGGAGTCGTCAAGGGATAACGTAGAGTAGGCGATTTGGGCCTTCCCAGTCAAGACTGACTGTATCATGATGGCCCAATTCTCCCTTGGCCACTCCAAAGAGGCAGCGACTTTCTCGAAGGCTGCAAAGAACTTTGACACTTCCTTCTCATGTAATTTGGGGACCATTTTGATGTTTCTTACCGGATCGAAACTACTGGTTTCCGTTGTTGGCCTCCGACCACCGCCTAGTCGCAATACTTCTAGTTCATGTTGTCTCTGTCTTTCGTTTTCTTCTCTCTCTCACTGTTCTCTCTCTCGTCTCTCTTCTCTTCTTTCTTCTCTTTCTCTCTCTTCTCTCTCTCGTTTCTCTTCTCTTTCTAATTCTAACCCAGCAAACAATTTTAGGTTGCCACAACATATCTGGAAAGTATTTGAAAGTATTGGAAACGTTTGTTTTATCGTATCAGATACGATATTGTGTGTGGACTTAAATAGGTTTCCAAAACTTATAACCAAGACATATGTATCTAACACTAATTTGAGATGTTGTGGCAACTTTACACTCCTAACATGAGTCATTCATAATCCATTCATATACCAATATGAATCTCTTATGAAAGGTTTGAGCCAATAATCTGA